TAGACAACAAGAAACTTACCCATGAAAGGTCGAAGAGTTTGCGTCATTACCCGCATAAAGGTACTTTGCGCATTACTTAGCCCAAAAGGCATGACCAGCCATTCCATCTTTCGTTTTAAACGCAGTCTTCCACTCATCGCTTGGGCGAATTCGAATCTGATGGTATCCACTCTTCAGATCAATTTTCGAAAAGATTGTGGCACCAACCATCATACTTAACATATCGTCAACTCTAGGAATGGGAAAACGATACTTCACCATGATCCTATTGATCGCACGACTATCCACACACATCCTCCAAGAACCATCCTTTTTGGGCATCAATAGGGCGGGGACAGCACACGGGCTTAAACTCTCACGAGTGAATCATTTGTGAAGGAGGTCATCCACTTGCCTTTGAAGTTCAACGTGCTCGGTAGGATTCATCATATAATGAGGCAAATTTGAAAGGGATGCCTCTGAGACAAAATTTATGGCATGTTGAATATCCCATAGAGGAGGTAGATGATCAGGTAGGTCCTCAGGAAAGACATCTCGAAACTCTTGGAGGATCGACTGACTTCAACAGGGTTCTCTATTGTGGAGTGGGATGAAACTTCCATGACCACCAAAGCGAACACAATTGAGTCACCAACAAGTGTACGCTCAAACTCCGTAGGACTAATGATATGCAATCCCTTTCGTTCCACATTCTTCTTCATTTCCAGTGGGCCAACAGGCTTTGGGGGCAGAAGGTTAAGGTGAATCTTCTTTCTATTAAACACGAAGGAGCAGGAATTAGATCGACCATAGATGGTTACATCTAGGTCAAATAACCAAGGTCGTCCCTAGATGATGTGCCCGACATCCATTGAAATGACGTCACACTATATATGGTCCTTATACTCGAGGAATTGGATAGGGACTAAACAACGCTCCTTGACAGCTATAGAAGAGGTGTCAACCCAAGAGACGCTGTATGGCTGAGGGTGAGGAACAGACTTCAACCCTAGACGGGATACAGTAGCCATCGAAACCACATTAATGCAGCTGCCACTATTTACGATAACTTTATAGTCCTTGTTATTAATCTTGATGTAAGTGTAGAAGATGGCATGACGGCGCCAATCATCGGCATCCCTAAGCTGGGGAAGAGTGCAATGGACGACACCGACTCTAGGTGTATGTGGAATAAGGGGACTAGCCTGAATACAACCTAAGAAGGTATCTTCACTATCCTCCAAGTCATCAAACTCTTCTAACTTAGGCTCATAAACCTGGTCCTCTAGTGGTTCGTCGACTATACCTTCACGCTCTTCCATAACTAGGGCTTGGCTAGGACACTTAGAAGAAATGTGACCAAAACCTTTACAGTTGAAGCATTGCAAACGGGAGGACATTCTTGAAACATCGAAGCTCGACCTTTGCTATCCAATGTGGGGGTAGTATTAGAAGGAGGAGATCCTAGAATAGACTTAGGGGATGGAGTGGATGCAGAAGAGGTTGCAGTGCGGGAGTCACCACGATTTCTATACGGTGTCCTAGTCACTAACTCGTAATCCCGAACGAAAGAGTAGGTGTGGTCAAGAGTGGTGACGCCTCTAAGGACAAGCTCACATCTAAGATCATCTCTTAGGCGTTGCCTAAACCTACTCAAGATCATGACCTCATCCTCAACGACTTGACCTCTCATTTGAAACTCATCAAACTGAGCAACGTATTCGGTCACAAGTCGACTGCCTTACGTAAGTGCGTTTCATTGATTTAGCAAGTTACTCCTATAAGATTGAGGTAAATATTTTTCTTGAAGGCGACGTTTCATTTCATCCCAACTCCCAACAGGGGGAGCATGACGCCTCTCCAGAAGGTCCTCAACACTTTCCCAAAAGGGTTGAGTAGTGCCAGTTAATTTCAAACCGGCAAATTGTACCCTCCAATCTTCCAGGACCCTATACCAGGCAAAGAAGCGATCCATATCTCTAACCCATTGATTGAATACATTAGGATCAGGACAACATCAAATGTAGGGGCATCTAGTTTAATATTTCGAAAGAGGCGCTCCTCGTGGCGAGGGAGAGATAGTGTACCATGACGGTAATATTCCTGCTCTCGTCCACAAGCTTGATTTCCCTCCCTAAGATCATGTCTGGCGTGGTGTCGACCACCTTGTGGACAACGATGAGGCCTATTAACTGAAATTTCAGAGTTTTCAGCTTAAGTCGAGTATGGGGTTGGGTCAAGAGTGTTCAACCTAGCGGTTAGGGCTCTATTCTCCTCACAAGTAGCGGCTACCTTAGTTTGAACAGTTGTTAATTGATTTTGTAATTGTGCCAACTGTCGGGTGAGAACTTCAATTTGGGAAGGATCCATGGCAAGGGTACTAGAACTAGAAGCAGTAACGCGACCATTACGCAATTGCATACACGGTAACACAAGCTAAGTGAAGTGCACTACTGACATCAACAAACACTGGTATCAACAATGAAATAGCAATGTTTTTTTTTTTTTGTTTTAGTATTATTATTCTTTGTTTTAGCTATTTAAAAGATGGGATTACGCAGTCCGAACGTGTAAGCTAATAATACTGGTGCAAATAAAATATAAAGCAAGGATACAATGGACTACTCGAGATACTCGAGATGTCTAAATATGTGGGGTAATCAGGGAACAATGGGAGTTAGTTCGAGAATCCCAATCAAGTAGGCGTAAGGCTAAATTTATCAAATGACAGCAACACAAATATTGTAACTGATGCAATTTTAAAGGGAAGCAATGGTATAAACGAAAGATAGATAGAAAAGTGACTCCCTGCAGTTCGGTTGTGACTCCAGTATTCCGGCTGGATTGACTTGCTAATGTGTGGGGCCCAGGGATGTTTGTGCCCTATCCCTTTCTTCAATTGCCTTCAACTTTAGAATTCACTCCTGTTGGATTGTAATTCCAATTTCACAACAAATTGCCTCTGACTACTACGAATTCCTTTGAACAGCTGCTTGAAACTGGTTGTGGTGACTGTGGGTTTGTGAATATGGTGTGTGTGGCGCGATTGAAGTGCAGTAGAGATAAGTATGTGATTTGGTGGCTGCAGGGATGAAAAGGGAAACGTTGGGGACTGTAAGTGTGGCGGCAATAGGCGGTTGCTTGGACTGTGATGTGTGGATAGTGGTGTGTTGAGTGAATTACAATTGGTAGGTTGGAGCATTGGGTTAATTATGTGGGCCAGGTAAGGGTGAGTTAGAATAGGTTATGTGAAATATGGATTGGGTATTTTGGTAATTTGGGCCGGCCGGGTTCGGGATCCTGTGCGTTAGAATCGGGCTGCCTGGATTGAGTCTTGTTTGTGTGGGCCGGTTTGAGTTCGTATATAATGGGCTAGGGTTAATTGGGCCAAACGGATTAATGATTTGAAAATGGATGAATGGGAGTTGGGTAGTGGGCTACGGGCTGAGTGAGTTTGGGATTGGGGTTATGGGTTGGTTTTGTATGTGGGCCAATATTTGAGAATTAGGGTTAGAACAACACTTTAGCAGCAGCAGCAGCGAATGAAATTTCTCTCTAAATGTTTTTTTTTTAATTGTAAAAATTCTAAATTGGAATTTCAGGTGCGAACAGTACCTGTGAACAGTAGCGCGATTTTTTTTTTCGAATGACAGAGAACTAAAAATAAAAAGTGAAAAAAGCTGCTTTTACGCTAAATCTATTTCAATTGTGTTGTTCTAACAAATTTTGGGAAGAGATAAGAACTTTTGGATTATAGGAAAGAAATTACCCAAGGTTCGGCTCTGATACCAAATTTGATACAGCACCAACGGGACAGTTAATTGCAAATTAGAATAGATCTATGGAGAGGGGGAATTAGAGAGAAGAAAGTGGATAGGGATTCAACAGAAGGGAAGAAAGAAAATAGGAAGAGAAGAATGCGCCATAAGCCACCAAAATATTATTCATTCATCAACTGAAAATTACAATGTAAAATAGGTTTAAATAGTAAAGCAACCCTAACGAGGTTGGGCCCGAGCCCATACAAGTCCAAATTTTAAATAATAGTCCAAAAATAAATAAAGTTTAAATAAAATAAGTAAACGTCTGATATCCTCATCAACTCTTTTGGGGTGGGAGAAAACTCGACCCTATTGAATGGATATATTATTATAGGCTATCGTCAATCTCCCAACCATAAGTTGAGTGGTTGGGCAAGCTTCTTCCGGCGTCTGTAAAAATGTGTCAGTGGAGGTCTGAACCTGGTGTCCTCACCAACTCCCCTTGGGTGAACGGGAGGCAATCTAGGCCAACGAAGATCCTGCTGACTCCGATAAAATTCCATTAAATCTTGGATACAATTGTTGTAGTGTCTCTCTGGAGATCCATGTACAATCAGAATCTGGTCGACCAACCCAACGAACGAGGAAGCGCTGAACCTCTCCATCATTAGTAAAGAAATTTTGAATTGTAGGAAAGAAATTACTCAAGGTTCGGCTCTGATACCAAATTTGATACAGCACCAACGGGACAGTTAATTGCAAATTAGAATAGATCTATGGGGAGGGGGAATTAGAGAGAAGAAAGGGGACGGAGACTCAACAGAAGGGAAGAAAGAAAATAGGAAGAGAGGAATGCGCTATAAGCTACCAAAATATTATTCATTCATCAACTGAAAATTATAATGCAAAATAGGTTTAAATAGTAAAGCAACCCTAACGAGATTGGGCCTGAGCCCATACAAGTCCAAAAATAAATAAAGCTTAAATAAAATATGTAAACGTTCGATGTCCTCATCACTATTAGTAGTAAGCTGCTGGTTTGGTAGATGCAATATTGTACCAGGTAAAACAAGTGCTTGGAGCATTTCAATCTGTGGCATCAGTGGTCTGCCGAGCACGAGTTATTAATGACTATGATTGTGTCGGTGTTTGCATGTTTTTAACTTTTAAATTTAAGCGGTATAATTTCTGTGTACCTTTTTATTTATACAGATATTCTAATGACTCACATGAAACCCACTTGTGTTTTCATAAGTGCAGATTGTTGATAGCATCAAGGGTTATCTGAATATTTCCTCTGATCCAGCAACCTTTGTTCAGGTTCACTTTAAGCCTTCTCTATTTTTTTTCCCTTCAAAACAGTATATGCTAAGTGTTCCTTTTGTTATTTCAAATGCTTTTTTGCATCCATGGAATTTCCTAGTATATGTGACATGATTATGAGTTGGTCTTGTACCTTTCATCTTTTCGTCAAAACTGTATGTAAGTGGGGTATCAAGATGATTTCACCACAATAATGGACAGCCATAGCATTACTTGGGGGCAACTGAACAAACAACTTGTACATAAACATCATATTCATATGAAATAATGCACATAGTAAGTTTCTATACAATGTGATCTTGGAAAAAGACCGGAGGTTGCTGATAGATATCAGTGTTGGAGAGTATCCTGCCCCATCTAAGCATATGAAAATCAGAAGTCTTATTAACTGAGTTGCAACTGACTGAGGACAATTTGAAATGTCTTTCTCTAGTTTTATGGGCTCATTGCTTTTGTATATGAATGACTGAAATCGCACTAGGTAGGACAGTTTTGATCCAGTTCTTGATTTTAAGTCGAGTTTCCCGAAATCTCTCTTTTCCTTGAAACTTTGTCCTGAATCCGTCACTTAATTAATGTAGTAGAAACCAGAAATTGAACCCCTCAGTCTTCAGAATCACATCTTACTTCGGCCTCTCTCTGCACGCTCTAATCTTTTACTCATATTGATTTCTGGATCTTTTCTTTGCATCAAATGGCCGATGTGTAGACCACCTCCTTTCTCCTTCAATGAATCCATCACTTAATTACTGTAGTAGAAACCAGAAATTGAACCCCTCAGTCTTCAGAATCACATTTTACTTCAACCTCTCTCTGCATGCTCTACTCTCTTCCTCATCCTGACTTTTTGGATCTTTTCTTTGCATCACATGGCCGATGAGTAGACCACCTTCTCCTTTCGCATTCAATGTTTCTCTTATACTGTCATAGTTATGGATCTTTTTTTTTTTTTTTTTTTTTTTTTTTTTTTTTTTTTTTGCCCTTTTTCCGTTTTCTTTTTTAAATTTTTGGCCATTGTGTGTTAATTTTGGTTTTTGTTAGTTAATAATGCACAGACACTCCTTGGTTGTCCCATTTTCTATAGTTTTAAGTCACTGACGCTCAAGGGATGCTTTAGAGACACCCCTCAGGCAAGTATCCAATATGGCATGCGTGTCATGTCCTATATAAAAACGTATGTATATATAATAGTAAAGATATAATATATAGATTCAAAATTTTAAAGAAATTAAGTCAACGTGTCCCTGACGTGTTTGTGCCCTACTTTTTTGAAAAATCGGGTATCCATGTTGTGTCCATGCCCGTGCAACTTAGTTTGTTAGTTTCTGTTTTTGCATTATTCGAAGTGTTTGCATGATATTTTGTGGCTATATTCTGTTTGTACAATGCGCTTGTCAGTTTTGCTTTGGCATTTGCTTAATTTCTGTAAAGTTGCCAATTGATCCAGTTCCAGTCTTTATAGATGGAACCACGTAAAATTCCCAAACCAGTGGTCCTGTCTTGTATAAAACGAGATGAGAGTAATTTGCTGCTTTTATAAACAAAGCTGTAGATTACTTATAACATTGGGAGTGACACTTTCTGGAAAATAAATTTTATTTTTTTTATGTAAACAGGGAGCAATTCCTCATATTCTTAAAAACACGACAAACGAGTTCTTCACCAAAATTGTTAATACACTTAAGGAAGCTGCAGACCTATGCTATGATCGAATAAAGGATATCCATTGCATTACTTGCCCAAGCAAGCCCGAAGGATCCATGTTTGTAATGGTAAGACATGAGAATTGATATTCTTATGATCTTAGAAATGATATGGGGAATCATCTGCTAGGAGTTTTTTCGTGTCAGGTAAAACTTAATCTGTCCCTTCTGGAAGGGATTATGGATGATGTGGACTTCTGTTGCAAGCTAGCTGAGGAGGAATCCGTGATAGTTCTCCCAGGTAAAAAATAAATTCAGGATTCTGCGATTAGCTTAAATACAGATAACTGCTAATTTGTAAAACCATGAAATGCTAAATGTATATGATTATGCTGTGAAGTAAATTTTGAATATACTAAAAGTGATATAGGAGGTAGTGATATCACGTGATCCCACTAATGTGAGAGGTCCATACACCATGAACAGAACAACCCTCTTGCTACTGCATCTGGACCACAACAAAATTTAGCTATCCCGATAATGTTAGTCGCCCCTTGTGGTCAACTACAATACACTGCTTGATAAGTTTGAAATACCCACATCAAAAATATGATTTTTCTTGCCTTTTCTAGTTATTTATTAAATTGTTGTGATTTGAGCTTTAGGACAAACTCATCTGGATGCTACCTACCTCGGTTGTGCCGCCTAGCTTCTTAGTCTCCAACTCAATGTTGTCCATAATTAAAAGTATAAACTTCTTGATAAAGACTAGAAGCATTCAAAGTTTTGAGTTTTTGGAAGGCATGCAAGTACCAAATGAAGTTCAGGTAGTTTGTGATGCGAACCCCATAGCAACGTTGACTACAAAACCCACAATGAGATTGACGAACCCAAGAAAGCCAAATTAATCCAAAAGTTTAGGATTAACCCAAAAGAAAGTCGAACCAAAAAACCCAACAAGAACGACGCTTGAAAGACCCCTTGATCACGCAATTCAAGAATTAAATCCGGTTATTTGAACGTCACAAATTAATACTTGATAAGTTCGAAATTGTTCAATGAAGAACGATGAAGAGAAGATAATATGCCTCACTTTTAATTCAATATCAAAATGTCAAAGGTTTCTTAACAATTGAATGAAAACTCCTACTTATACTAAACCTAAAAACTAGGTAAAAATCGTGCAAAAGTCTACCTAGAATAATTAGGAATGAAAAAGAATCAAAATCTAACAAAATATGGAAAAATACCAAAAATAGGAAATTCGCCAAAAAAAATGGCCTATGCGACTGCAATGTGTATTTTCATGCAGTCGCATGGTTCAACTAAAAATCTCATCTTGAGTTTCGGTATGCTTCCATGCGATCGCAAGCCTCATAAGCCTATGCGGTCGCATAGACTTATCATTTTCCTCTGTTTTCGGCCTTTGATATTAAATTGATTCAAGTTTATTCGCCCTTCGACCCAAACATGAAAGTTACTCCATTTTGAGTCCCGAACATGGTTCCATCAATGGTTTCTTGAACGAACAATCTCATCGCTTATTTCACTTGCTTTGCCTTTGATCGCGTCATTGGTCCGCCATCGACTATCAAACGATCTCGTCTTGCACTCGCCTTCGTCGGGCTTGACTCTTGGATTATATCATTCCCTCCCTTTTCAAAAGGATTCGTCCTCGAATCTGAACCTGCATCAAACAGAGAGAGATAAAAGTAGCCGAAACATTGTACTCACCTGGAAGGTCCAACTTGTAAGTATTGTCGTTTATCTTTTCAATCACTTGAAATGGTCCATCGCCCCTCGGTTGCAACTTGGACTTCCTTTGCTCCGGAAACCGCTCCTTCCTAAGGTGCACCCAAACCCAATCTTTTGGCTCGAATGTCACGCGCTTCCTATCTTTGTTTGCCTGCGACGCAACCAACTTACTTTTATTTTCAATTTGCGTTTTTACCTTTTCATGGAGTGACTTAACCAATTTCGCCTTCTTTTTGCCATCTAAACTACCACGTTCATTCATAGGTAAAACAATTAAATCCAAAGGAGTTAGTGGATTAAAATCATATATAATTTCAAATGGAGAATATGACGTAGTAGAGTGAACAGTTCAATTGTATGCAAATTCAATAAATGGTAGACACTCCTCCCAACTCTTCAAATTTTTATTGATTACTGTGCGTAACAATTGTGTCATAGTCTTATTCACTACTTCGGTTTGTCCATCCGTTTAAGGGTAACAAGTTGTGGAAAATAGTAACTTAGTGCTTAAGTTACCCCACAAAACTCTTCAAAAGTGACTCAAAAATTTGACATCCCGATCTGACACTATGCTTTTAGGAACCCCATGTAAACGCACAATCTCTTTAAAGAATAAGTCAGCAATGTTCGTGGCATCGTCAGTTTTGTGACATGGTATAAAATGTGCCATTTTGCTGAACCTATTTACAACCACAAAAATAGAATCCCAACCTCTCTTAGTCCTAGGTAAATCTAAAACAAAGTTCATCAAGATATCAACTCAAGGCTCACTAGGTGTAGGTAAAGGTGTATACAAACCTTGTGATAAAACCTTAGATTTAGCCTTTTTACAACCTATGCATCGACTACAAATTCTCTCAACATCACTTTTCATCTTAGGCCAATAAAAATGCTCATTCAATACATTTAAAATCTTTTGAACCCCAAAGTGTCCCATTAATCCACCACTATGTGCCTCCCTTACTAACAATTCCCGAATAGAACAATTAGGAACACATAACCTATTTTCCCGAAATAAATACCCCTCATACCTAAAGAACCTATCAACTGCCCCTTCTATGCATGACAAATAAATATCCGAAAATTCAACATCTTTTTCATACAATTCCTTAATATGTTCAAATCCAAGTAGCTTAGAATCAAGAGTAGTTAGCAATACGTACCTTCGCGACAACGCATTCGCCACCACATTTTCTTTACCTTGTTTATACCGAATGACGTATGGAAAGGTCTCAATGAATTCCATCTACCGTGCATGCCTCTTGTTCAATTTACCTTGTCCCCGAAAGTGTTTTAGTGACTCATGATTGGTGTGTATTACGAACTCCTTCGGCCATAAATAATGTTGGCAAGTTTCCAAAACTCGAATAAGTGCATAAAGTTCTGTCATATGTAGGATAATTTAAAGCAGGTCCACTCAACTTCTCGCTAAAGTATGCAATAGGCCTCCGATCCTACATTTAAACTGCTCCAATCCCTATTCCCGATGCATCACACTCAATCTCGAATGTTTTATCAAAGTTAGGTAATGCCAAAACAGGTGCTTCACACAATCTACCTTTAATAGTATTAAATGCAAGTTCTTATTCATCACCCCAATAAAAACCTACACTCTTTTTAACTACTTCTATGAGTGGCATGGTGATAGTGCTAAAATCCTTCACAAAACACCTATAAAAACTAGCCAGACCATGAAAACTCCTAACTTCTGTTGTGTTTTTAGGTGTCGGCCAATTTCTAATAACTTTTATCTTTTCATCGTCTACTTCTACCCTATTAGCACTAACTACAAGATCAAGAAAAAGAACTCTATCCATACAAAACGTGCATTTTTTAAGATTAGCATAGAATTGTTCTTTCCTTAAAACAATTAACACACTTTAAATGTTCCATATGCTCTCCTAAGTCTTTGCTATAGATTAAGATGTCAAAATAAATCACAACAAATTTTCCTATAAAAGCACATAAAACATGATTCATTAAACGCATAAAAGTGTTAGGTGCATTTATGAGTTCAAACGGCATAACCAACTATTCATATAAACCATATTTAGTTTTAAAAGCCGTTTTTCATTCATCACCCTCCTGCATACGAATTTGATGATACCCGCTTTTTAAATCAATTTTAGAAAATATGCAAGCACCATGTAATTCATCAAGCATGTCATCTAACCTAGGTATGGGGTGACGATACTTTACCGTTATGTTGTTGATAGCCCTACAATCCACGCACATTCGCTATGTTCCATCCTTTTTTGGCACAAGCAAAGTCGGTACCGCACAAGAACTCATGTTTTTCCTCACGTATCCTTTGCTCATTAACTCCTCCACTTGCCTTTGAAATTCTTTAGTCTCCTCGGGATTACTTCGATAAACCGGTCGATTTGGAATGACAACTCTGGGTATGAAATCAATTTGATGCTCAATGCCTCGAATATGTGGCAATCCACTTGGTGCATCCTCCGAAAATACATCCTCGAATTCCTGCAATAAAGACTTTGCCAAACTAGGGAGGGGTGGGTCAGTTTCCTCAAAATTGAGGAGTGATTCCTTATAAACGAACTATATCATCTCTTTTCTCTCAACTACCGCCATCCTCAAATCATTCTCCTTTGCAAAGAAATTCGCTCATGTTTTCTCTCCTCTTGGAATACTCCCTTTCTTTTCTTTCTTTTGCTTGCTCTCTCTTTTTCTTTTTGGTGGCTTTTTCAACATTTTCTCTCTTCTTCTCTAACTCACCACTTTCTCTCTTTTTTTCTAACTCTTTGATTCTCCTCTCTACATCACTTCTCAATTTTAATTGGTCATCATAGACCTGCTCCGGTGTTAATGGCACAAGAGTAATGGTCCTTCCATCTTTAATGAAACTATATCGATTTTTAAACCCATCATGCATAGCTTTCCTATCGTATTGTCATGGTCGCCCCAATAAAATATGCCCCCGCTTGCATTGGCACCACATCACACACTAACTCGTCCTTATAACTCCCAATTGACAAATTAATTAGCACCCTTCGATTCACCCTCACCTCGCCACTCTCATTCAACCATTGCAATTTATAAGGTATCGGGTGTCTCAACAATGTTAAACCCAATTTTTCTACAAAAGATATGCTAGCTACATTAGTTCAACTACCACCATCAATTATAACACTACATACCGTATTGTTGACGTGGCATCGAGTGTGGAAAATGTTCTCCCGTTGCAACTCCAAATCATCCGCTTTGACGTGAGTAGTAAGAGCTCGCCTTGTGACTAGTAGATCCCCAATCGGCCCTTCAACTTTTTCTTCTTCACTAACATCCTCCAACATTGGCATGTCATCAAACTCGCCATCACTATCGCTCACAATCTCTCAATTATTCCGCAACACTATCGCCCGTTTGTTTGGGCATTGAGAAGCAATATGCCCCGTTTCCAAACACCTAAAACATTTGATGTCCCGATTGCGTGACGGTTGTGCCTCCGGTTTTTATATTGTTTGCTAGCGTTTTCATCCTTGCCCTTTTGCCAATCGTTTTTACCTCTAGGTGCAAACCCCGTTTTTGTTGTTGTCATCCCACTTCGATTTTCATGTTGGATTAGGAGTCGAAGTACCTAACAGTTGCCTAGATGTCCCCTTCCTCTTCAATTGCCTCTCAACCTTCATTACTACATGTAACATGTCCTTGATTTTCACATAGTGTTGCAACTCTACAACGTTTGCAATATCCCGATTTAACCCATTCAAGAACCGTGTCATGGTAGCTTCCCGATCTTCCTCCACATTAGCCCGAATCATTAGAATTTCCATCTCCTTGTGATAATCCTCTATACTTTTCGATTCTTGGTACAAACCTTGCAATTTTTGATGGATTTCCCTATAATAGTGACTCGGAACAAACCTTCTCCTCATCAATACCTTCAATTCATCCCAAGTACTAATTGGCTTTTCCCGACCCCTACGCCGTGATGTAAGTACTTGATCCCACCAAGATATCGCTTAATCCACAAATTCAAGTACCGCCAATTTTATCTTTTTCTCCTCCGAAAAATTATAGCACTCAAAAATCATCTCAACCTTCCTTTCCCACTCTAAATATGCTTCCGTATCGCTTCTCCCCTTAAATTGAGGAATAGTCATTTTAATACTCCCCAAATTTCCATCTACTTCATCTCCCAAGTTATTTCTACCCCGTCTTTTCATCCTATCGCCCCTATGCCTCGCTCGACCCATATCAACGTCATTTTCATCAAAATCATCCTCATCACTACGATAGTTATCTCGTCTTCCTCTCCTAGATTCACGCCTACCCGGCCCCCTAGCATTAGACATCTCCACTTGTCCTCAGCTAAGATTAGCAATTATAGTACCTATTCGCGCCATCCATTCCCCTTGCCTATCCACCTTCTCCCTAACATTACCAAGTACCCTTTCAAACCTCCTTATCATGTCCTCCGATACATTGTTGTCATTACCGTTTCGGCTTGAATTAGAACTCTCTTTCCGGCATCATATCACACAATTTTTTCATGCTTCACAAAGATTTCACTCGGAAAACACTCACTATGGCTTTTTCCCTCTATTAAACTCACCACTCGGCCTTTTACCACTCAAAGTCTCCCTCCAAGCACTTCAAAGAACCAAGTGAACTAAATCAATTGTTTTACCAGGAATTCAAGCAAACCGAATACTAATCGAAGACCACGAGACTCAAAGGACTTGAATAAGTGGAATAGATGAATATTTTGACAAGAATATGTGAATAGACTCAATAGAAGATTGAAAGAATCGAACCCAATTGAATATCCCAAAGTCAAGCACAATGTAGGAATTGTTGTTGGTAGAAAAACAAAATCAAACAATAATAATATCAAAATTTATTTTATTTTATTTTATTTTTGTTTGTGAACAGTACTTCGAATGTACAGTAACTTTTTTTTGTACTTTTTTTTTTTACTCTTTGATGAAAGAAGATGATTAAACTACCAACAACTCAACGAAACGACGAAAAGAAAAAAAAGAACGAAGAAGAACTAAGAAAGAACAATTAAAACTGAAGAAGAAACTAAGAAAATAAAATTAACGACTCAAACAAATAAAGAGAAGATATAACCTTCAATAAATTTGGAGCCAAAGCTCTGATACTAACTGATGCGAACTCCGTAGCAACGTTGACTATAAAACCCACAACGAGATTGACGAACCTAAGAAAGCCAAATTAATCCAAGAGTTTAGGATTAACCCAAAAGAACGTCGAATCAAAAAATCCAACAAGAACGACGCTTGAAAGATCCCTTGATCACGCAATCCAAACATTAAATCTGGTTATTTGAACGCCACAAGTTAATATTTGATAAGTTCAAAGTTGTTCAATGAACAACGATAAAAAGAAGACAATACGCCTCACTTTTAATTCAATATCAAAATGTCAAAGGTTTCTTAACAATTGAATGAAAACTCCTATCTATACTAAACCTAAAAACTAGGTAAAAATCGTGCAAAAGTCGACCTAGAATAATTAGGAATGGAAAAGAATCAAAATCTAACAAAATATGGAAAAATACCAAAAATAGGAAATTCGCCAAAAAAAAGGCCTATGCGACCGCAAAGTGTATTTCCATGCGGTCGCATGGTTCAACTAAAAATCCCATCTTGAGTTTCGGTATGCCTCTATGCGATCGCAAGCCTCATAAGCCTATGCGATCGCATAGGCTTATCATTTTCCTCCGTCTTCGGCCTTCGATATTAAATTGATCCAAGTTGATTCATCTTTCGACCCGAACATGAAAGTTACTCCATTTTGAGTCTCGAACATGGTTCCATCAATGGTTTCTTGAACGAACAATCTCATCGCTTGTTTCACTTACTTTGCCCTTGATCGCGTCATTGGTGTGTCATCGACTATCAACGGATCTCATCTCGCACTCGCCTTCGTCTGGCTCGACTCCTGGATCATATCGGTTTGCCAATGCAGCAACTAAACTTTAAATATATGTGCCAAGAGGTCCATATGTATCCATATTATCCAAACCCTTTCTTAGAAATGAATCTTCTCACTCCTGCTTCAGTGTTGGATCCATGTCTGCGGCATCAAAAGCTGATGGATGTTCAGGCTTGACTGAACCCCTTGGCCGTCCATCTGTCCCATAGTTATTCCAACTGCATAGATTTCATACGAACTCTCTTCTATAATGACCTTTTTATAGAGTAGGAGCTGAATAACTTTTCCCTGTAGTTGTCATAGTGAACAAAAAACGCTCGTTGTTGTGAACAATTTTTAGTATGAGATTTCCTCCCGTTTGTTGATGGTGACAGAGAGTTTCCTGTGTTGTCCCTTCTACTTGGTAAGCTGCTTAAATAAAAGGCCCTTTTTTTTAAAAAAGTTTGCAAGTAACTTTCTGCTGCTTTAAAGATTTGATGAGACCATTGTATTCATGGGTGATAAACTGATCGTGCTCATGTTAAGAAGAGATTACCAAATAAGTCTCCCAATTGTGGACATAATTTCCTCTTGAAATGATGAAATCCTCATTGAGCAATTGAATAAACCAGCAGATCCCATTAGTCGAAATGGTACTGTATGTAGGCTACACTGCTGTTGCTGAAGCATGTTTGCGAGACTACATATTTTCACTCAACTTTGAATTGTCAAATCTTGACGGGCTTTGATTAGGATTCACGAATCTTTGTGTTAGTTAGCTCTTATAGGAAGGTGAGTGTTAATGCCAACCAAATCAGAACTAAGAAAGCTTCAAAAACCTCTGGAGTCGTGCTGTTGGCATGCAGAGGACAGTTTTGTTTGTAGTTTTTGCTTAGAATTTTGGTATCAAATTGGTCATTTCCATCTTCATAAAGTGAATTGACTGGGTTTATCAGCTAACATACGAGTAAAATTCTCCTTGCAGGGGTTGCTGTAGGACTCAAGAATTGGCTCCGAGTAACTTTTGCCATTGAGCCATCATCACTCGATGATGGCCTTCGAAGGATAAAAGCTTTTTATGAGAGACACGCAAAGAAACAATGAATGTTGTTTCTATATATTCTGATAGTTTCTCCATTCCAATCACGCATTGGATCAACAAGGGTTAGTCAATAAATGTTTGTTTTTCATGGGAGAAGATTCTTCTTCATTTTCTATTTGTAATGAAAATAATGATGGAGAATATCACTATCCTCCACTGGTTGTGAAACATTGTGAAGTTTGCTGAAAGTTAATTTTATTTAAAATAACTAGAATATGTTAATACTTGTTATGTTATTATGATATAATGATTATTCATTGAGGTTGTGATCTTGAGCAAGTGATTGAGAGATTTATTTGCTTTTATTTATCATTTATATATTAATGTGATCTTTAAACTAAAAAACTGTTTATAGACATATAAAGAGACATTTGATTAGGTAAAGATTCATTCTCAACACACAACACAATAAACAGTATTCACAAACTTTAGTCATTCCCAAATAGCTAGAATAGGCACACCCATTTCAAGCATGCTCATGCATTAAATTTTGTGAGCTGGGTAAATGACGACTGATGGGAGAAAGAAATGAGGAGGGTAATGCTCGGGAGGGACCATGATTGTGGTGTATCATATATTTACATATAACCCTTTAGATCTCAAGCTTTCAAGATCGAGTTATTCTATGTGGTAACATTTAATGATCTGGATATCGTGCTGTGGTTCTTTAAGCTCCAAGAAACAAGTTTATCCCCCAAGTGTACACACTATCCAGAAATTGATATTGGATAAGATACCCAATCTGCATTGAAATATCTTATGAGAAGGATTCTTAGATTGTTGAAGAATGACTGAATGAGACCATAATTTAAAGTGCCTTTTAGGTATTTGGTTATTCTTTTGGCAATTTTCGAGTGGATGTTACTTGAGATTTGCATAAACTGGCATATGTTCTTGACACCGCATGAAAGCTCAGGCATTATCGCAATTGCTTAGTACAGTCCACCAACTATTCTTCTGTAGAATGAGGGATCTCCGGCAGGGCCAGAGATTGTAGAACCAGAAATCATCGGTGTGGATCCTGCTCATGAATATAACATCTTCTCCTTCGCAAGGAGATCTTGTAGAGTTTGTTTCCTTCTGATGTTCATTTGAAACTCATTGATGACATGGTTTGTGACTCGAGTCTGGAAATCGTGCCCCTTCAGTTTTTTCAAGCATCGTCTCTCTAAAGGAGTAAGTATGCAGATTGGATGTTACTTGGACAACAACGAACTCAGATTCTTTGTCCAATCCAGTAGTAACTGTAATAATTTGTTCGACAAATTTTATCTCCCTCACATGACAAAGAATCAATCAGAAACTGCCTTTGATTGAGATACTGGTGTACGCCCAATCCTTTCTGATGAGATGTATTACCACCTGCTAGTTGAGGGACTACACCTCCAGAGAATTTGATATTCTTGGGATCTAGAAATTGTTTGGAGAATTATCTGCAAAAAGATTTTGCATCAGGTAAATGTTAAATCTGTCCATCCTTGATTGCAGTAATGACTGCGAGGACTTCTGTTACAAGCTGGCTGAGGGAGAGTCCTGATCGTTTTCCAAGGTGAAAGAATAAATTCTGGATTATTTAACTATTTTTTGGGTTAAATTCTATAGAATTCGTCATTTCAATCTTCATAAAGTAGATTTCAAGGTTAATGGGGTTAGATTTCAAGGTTAATGGGGTTGCTTTAGGACTCAAGAATTGGTTTCAAGTAACTTTCGCTTTTGATCCATCCTCGCTCGATGAATTGATGGCCTTGGAAGAATAAAACCTTTCTGTCAGAGACGCAAGGAAATGAATGAAAGTTGTCTCTATCGTAGTGTGGAATAGCTTGTGCCCTCGATATTCAGGCCAAGATAAAAGGTGGCGATTTGGAACTATGCATTGGGAATAAATTTTCGTTAAGCATGAAAGAACAAGTGCGATTCTTCATTTCTCTTTGTGCTAAACATTTGAAATATGTTGCTGTTATTGGATAATCTAAAACAGATTGTTAAAGGATTAAGCCTAAGTAATTAGAAAGAGACCTTCTGTACGCTAATCAAGACATCTTTAATGTTGATCCTCTCCTCAGGTATTTCTGTTGGGCATTCTATGGCTACTCCAATGTCTGATATCAACTGATTTTGTTTGGTCATAACATTTTTCTCATTCAGGAACTTAATATAGATTCCAGGCCCATCTCTTCAGCATTGATTCTCCCGAAAGAATTAAGTCATTTGTACTTGTTTGTTGACATTTTGGATTATCCGACCCCATCACTCCTCTCACATGAGGTCGGGGTGGGGGTCATGACATGGGGTCCAACCCCCATGTGAGAGGAGAAGGTGGCCCCAAGTAAACCAAAGGGTGAATAAACAAGTACAAATAGCATGACCTTGACCGAAAATATGTCGTCTGTGGGCTGTTTTCCTGCAAACACTTCCCTAAATAAAATCCCAAAACTGTAAACATCTGCACTAGTCCTGCCGATCCGTATTCTGCTAGTTTTAATCAATCAAATAAAAATAATGCATGACTACTAATTCAATGCTCTCATTTCTACTGCAAGAACTTATCTTCATGTGAAGATCCCATTAGTAAGCTCATTCGGACTGATTTATTGGATTCTAATATTATTGATCGATTTGAAGTTTACCTGGTGCCGTGTACCCGATGGTGCCTAAAGTCTTCGTCTGTGAAATTCTTTGGTCTTTTGTCAAAAGCTTAAAAATTCCAAAAATGAGCCACATGTCCTACCATACTTTCATCCAAAAGTATGTTGCTTGTCTTCAAATCACAATGAACAACGGGAGATGAATAACCTTGATGCAGATGCTACATTTATCATAATTTGCAATCTTTGAGTTACGTTTAGGAAGTAGTTGTGAGAATAAAGCCAATTGTGGAGGTAACCTTTGGGCATATACTCAAGCAAAAGGGCTTTAAACTCGAGATTTGTGCAACGGCCGAGTACTTTGACAAGATTTCTGTAGCCAATATTGCAAATTATGTCGCATTCTGCATCAAAACTTTTGAATGCACCTTGTAGATTTGAGTCGAGAACCTTTATAGCAGCAACAAATTGGTATCAAATATTACTTTTACATCACTTATAATGTATTTTAAAATAATGTGCAATGCACGTTCAACTTTGACCAGTAATATTGAAAGTCATATCTTGCTCACTGGTCTTGGTTTATTAGTTTTACTGACATGCCTCGACCTTGAATCGAGATGCTCCACACAAATCTATGTTACCTGTGACACATTCAGCAGTGAAGTCTGAGAAAAGCCCTTCGTCTGGAATTTCACCGCTGAGTTGGTTGAAAGAAACATTAAAATACTTGGGATGTGGAAGTTTCTCCAAGGACTTGAGGATTAGACCTTAGAACTTGTGGGATAAGTCCAAGAATTCTAAATCCAGCAAAGTCACAAACGACTCAGGTATAGAACCACGTAATTTATTGTTCGATAATATTGATTTAATAGACTTTGAAGTTGTCCGACAGTACTTGGAATATCACCTGATACCTATTACTTGATAGATACAGTTCTCTCATGCTCTTTAGACTGCCAGTTTCTTGAGCCAAGACACCACTGAGATTAATTATAAGACAAGTCCAGTATCTCAATGTCTTTGTTACTCCATAATGCTGATGGTATAGTCGAATTGAATACATTGTATGCCAGGTGTATTTCTCGCAATGCCGTAATGTCTCCTAGACAACCTGGTACTTCTCCAAAGAGCCTATTTTCCTCCAAATCTAAATGATATGGTTTTGTATAATTGCAAAAGTTTTTTGGTATCGAACCATGAAATTTACAAGCGTGCAAGTTCAAGGCTTGCATCTTCGTCAAGTTTCCAAGTGCTCGAGGCAATGATCCTGTCAAGTCATTTCCTCCAATGCTTGACAACCATAAATTGCCCAAATTCCCAATTTTCGCCTGGAATCGTGCCCTTGAAGCCACTAGAAACCGCATAAAATTACTCAAGGGACAGAGACGGATTCCTTGAAAATAAAGATTTTGGAATCCTTCCATTTAGAGGATTGAAAGTTATCTACAATTTCTCAAAGAAAAATGTCCAACTCAAGAAAAGATGGATCGTTTTTCTACTGATTCTTCGCTAAGCTAAGAGAATCGAGGTGTTTCAAGTTGCCAAGATCCAACGGTACATATCCACTACACATATTGTTTATAAGATCAGGTAATGTGAGCTTTGAGGCATTTGCTATAGAGCTTGGAATTGATCCACTGAATTGATTACCACCAAAATAAACACTTTTCTATATTGCGAAGTCCTTTTCCTATTGTAGCTGGAAGATTTTCACATAATTATCTACGAGAGAAAGTGCTTGTAAACTAAACGGCTTAAAAATGAATTCCGGGATTTCACCCTCAAGCTTGTTTGGACCAATAAACAACTCTTTCATATTCGACAGAACTCCCAATTTTTCAGGACCATGTCCTTGAATACTATTCGAACCAACATGGAATATCTCCAAGTTCGACATATTGCCAATTGAATTCGGAATATTACCTGTAGAGTTATTGCAAATCTTAATATAATTCCATCGAAGAAAAACTTCTGGGACATGTTCGGTACTAGTATTAGATAGTATTAAATGATACAGTACATAAGATTTTAACTTCTATTTTGTTTTTAATATTGTTTAGTAGTCTTACCAAACGCTGCACCACTTATTTGAATTGAAGGAAGGACTTTGGGTACCTGTCAAGTTATTTCTGTACAAATACAACCATTGAAGCGCTGATAAGTTTCCGATGCCATAGGAAGACTTTCTGTGAGTAAGTTATGGGACAGATTGAGCTCTTTGAGCACAAGGCAATGTGAGATACTAGACGGGACTTGGCCATAAATTTGGTTGTTGAAAAGATAGAAGACTTCAAGCTTTGTCGAGAGATGGCAGGGATCATTAGGAAATCTTCCAAAAATTTGATTGAATGAAACATCAATATCCACCAAGGTCGAGATGTTAAAGATTGTTGAAGGCAATTCTCCTGAAATAAATTGAAAAAATGAACTGGTAAAAAGAACTATACTTCCTTGCCGAACTGCTTATACTTTCAGACGACGTGGATCAAGCAAAGAAAAGTCAATTTAAGGCCAGAAACAAGTTTACAGGAAAGATGAGACGTACCATTCAAACTATCGAGGCCCAAGTAGAATATAGCTGTGTCAAGTTTCCGATCACCATTGGAATGCTTTCTGTGAAATTGTTGACAGACAGAGATCTTCTCAAGTTTTGCAAAATTGGGTAAACTTGTTGGTAAAGAACCACTCAACTGATTCTGCAAAAGGTTCAATCCTTGTTTGGCAAAATGTCACAAAGGTCCATTGGAAACGTCCCAAAAAATTGATTTTTTTCCGATGGAAATGCTCACTAAAGGGGAAAGATTAAACACTGCAGCAGGTATAGGTCCAGTGAGACTGTTGTCAAAAAGGTTCAAGTCCTGAAGTTGAGATAAGTAAGCAAAATTCGTAGGAATCTGACCCGTCAGCTTGTTTGAATGTTTATATGCAATTGACACAAATGCCCAATTTCGTCTCCGATGTGGCCATAGAAACTATTGTTTCCAATGTCCAAATGAACAAGAAATGAGAGATGACCTAATTCTTTCGCGATTGTACCTCTAGGACCCATGTCGAAGCGACTAAAGCGTGTAACTCGTGGGTGCCTTCTGCCACACACAACACCAATCCAATTACAAATGGGAGTTTGTCATGACCAATTCTTTGTCAACATGTTATTGAGGTCAAACTGTATACGAAACTTGAAGGCTAGAAGAGCAAGCTCATGTGTGTGTGACTTTTGAACGATGAAACCAAGCAACTAGTCAAGAAATGTAATGCCAACCATATCCAAATCATATGCTTTCACATGTTGGTTTGATCCTTGAGGTCTTGGCCTAAGTTCTACATACACACACATATATAGAATATTATTGTTACTTGTATACGACACTACAATCGACAAGATTTTAACTTCTTTTTTTTTTTTAACATTCATGTAATGTGTCCTATAAAACAAATATTACATTCATGTACCTAGTTAATATTGAATATTCTTTACAAGTAGCTGCTGTGTAGTCTGAATATTGTGATGTTGATTCACACATGCTTTTCAACGAAAGAGCAAAGAGGTCTCTTGAGCAAGACAATGAGTGGCTTCATAACATATGGGTACAGCTTTGGTTTTAAAAAGTGGATCTTTTTCCCAAAAAAGGGGTCTCCTCTCAATTCAAGTCCATACATGCTAGGGGTTGTGAAATACGAAGATAAACCTAGTTGCATAGGTTTGTTGCAACTAAATATTTAAAATGATCGTGATTTTAATTTTTTATCCTTTAAATTATCAAGTATTTTTTAGTCCATATTCATCAATATGTTTCAAGGATTTTCTAAGATGCCAATGCATTACATCTCAATCTGCTTAGAAGACCTATTGTACAACTTCCTTTGCTCACAGGCCCCTAGTGTGGGGAGACAAAGTGTTATAGCAGTACATGGTGAAATTCGCACATGTTTCAAGCTGCCCTAACACTTTTCTCCCACTTAAAATGTATTAGGACGAACCTTCTGCAAAGTTAACATAACTTTCACATTGAGAGTAAACCCACATATATCTCGATTATTCTTGCTTCCATTTTTCATGTTTCACGTTATTTATTGCTCTCCATGATAGAGATTATTCATTTATACTTGACAACACTAACGAGGTCCTCGGGTTGAAGCCTCAGCTCTATCACAATCATCCATGCTACAGAAATATATTTCGTACTAGAAAATAAAACTCGACTCTCATAACCTATTGCATTGAATAGAGAAAACATCAAGGACAAGAAGGAAAAAAAATGTAAAAGCGTGGTGTCTTTTTTTTTTTTTTTTGCGATCAAGTCACAAATTTACAGTGCAGTAATTCATGAGTTACATAAGGTTGCAGAAGACTATATATAGAATATGCTAATAAAGACCATGAAATTAATAGTTCCATGCATTGTATCACTATTTCAAAAGACACAACACGTCTCGAGAGCTCAGCGGTAAAATAGATAAAACTTGATAAATAGGAAAAGGGAAAGGTCATCAGTCAGCCATAGATATCTATTTCACAGCGAAATGTTCAAGTGCGTGATTCTGGACCAGACTGGATTAAAAACGAAAATTGAGGCCACATGCGACCTAATTTAGCATCAATTATCCTCTCTGTACTCTGGATTCTCTTTAAGGATGACGAAACCCTCAAGAATGGGAGACACAGGAACATATCTGCACGGCCAATGGATATTAGCATGTAATGCATACGTTCAGTTTTAACTGAAATTTTAGTTTAAGCTGGGTCAAACATATATTTTATCTATACATTTCATAAAACCTACAACTTACTACCCACTTATTATTCACATATTTTTTGTAGGACCTATAACTTATAGGACTCCCAACGCAATAAATGAACAGCACATCTCACAAGGATGATATAACTTACTTCTCAGTTGCTAGCTCAGCTCGGTCACCAGCAGACAGAAGAACTGGAGTTGAGTGGGTCTGGAAACCTGTAATAGTCTTGGGGCGACCAGCTTGACCCACTACATCAACAGCTTGGCCCACTCGAACAGGTACTGACAGAGGTTTCAGGTTTTCATCCACAGTCATCAGCATCCTTGGCTGTAGACAGTATATTCATTATATTGTAAGCAGCATCAAGAAAAAAAAAAGACATGGAAGGTAAAAAAGACAAACAAAAAAGGGACATAACAGCCACCCAACATGAAAAAAGACAAACCTGCATAGCAAGAACAAGGAAGTATAGAACATAATGGTACTTCCCCAAGACAATAGCCTTCATATCAAGACATGCATGCAGAAAAGTCACGAGTCCAGCCAGTGCAGTCCTTCAAAGAAGGTAAGAAAAAGGGGTCATGAATGCACAAAATGTAGTTTAGAGTAAAGATAATGCCAACAGCACTGAGCTCTATAATATCTCTTTCTAGATTAATTTCTTAAATTAAAAACGTTAAGGATCAAGGACACTACAAACTAATGGTGATTATTAGAAATTTGAAGTGAATTACACGAATTCCTTGATGTCACTCCGCTTGATCCATTGCTTCTGGATAGATTAAGAAAACTACATACATAACTCTTAATGCTTTCGATTAGCCAAATCAGAGGGCTTAAGTACTTGTTCAGGCATGCAAAATGTATCACACCATCCAAAATCAAGCAAAATCCAAGAATTCGCTATAACCACACAGTCGGTGGTTCAAGACTGTTTTGAACCAAGTTGCCCCATCAACTGTATTCATACCAAGTAAAAAAGAATCAACTCGGTACACTAAGCAAGTACATGACCACCATAATTACCTCCATATATGATAACATTCTCTCATGCAGATGCAACATCAAATGGGTTTGATGCAAATATACATATTAAAATGGCAACATGGGGCAGACTGCTACTCTTTCAAAACAAGATTAACTTACGGGGATAGTAAAAATCTTTCAGAATGATATGGAGCAAGGGTCAACAACCCTTTGCCAAGATGGACAAGACCTTGAGCAATCCGCACCTGCACAGGTTGCAGTGCAAATTATTTAGATTGTTAAGACATATTAGGCCCCTGCTGTGGATAAACGATGTATATTTGTGAACCAAGATTCAAATGGAAACTTTACACAGAAAAGAAGGCTGGCATCTTTGTAGTAATAACTTGATAGATTCCTAAGCATTCCAGCTATTCTCGCATTGTTGGTTCCAGCTCCTATCAAACCCAAAGACACAATGGCTGCCTGCATGATTCAGAAATAATAAATAAATAGTAAGGTTTATGCCTCAAGAGTACTTGCATGAAGAACAATTTCAAAACCAAGCTAGCCTGGCATTGCATTACCATTGCAACTTCTGTGTCAGCATCATGGCTAAGCCTGCTTAACGTGTCCATGACATTGACCTGTACAGAACACCGAAACAATGATTAGAAAGGGCTAAAACAGGTATCGAGTCATTTTTCTTGGTGGTGCAAGGCAAAAAAAGATGTAAAAGGTAGTAATCACATTACAAGAACACTAATCCACAAGGAACTTAACGTTCAAAACAGACATGACAGTTAACCAGCTATTTTGGTAGCATTTTGTTTACTTTCAGCTTTTAAGGGAAAGGGAAAAACATACAGAGTACTAGCAAAATATATAAAAGAAAGAAGATTCGCTTGTAGCCTGCGGAAGAGGGAATCACATTTCAGTTGCACCAGGAGAAGGCAAGATGATAGGTCATGCACAGGGTCTTCATTTCTTCTTTTCCCTAATTTATACCCTATATTAAAAATAAAATTGGATCGGACTGTGTTTAAAGCCTAAACCATTGACAAATTCTGGGCTAAGAGAATAAATCTTGAAAGGCACAAGACTGAGCAGTGCACACCTTAGCCACCCTGAGTTTGAACCGCTTACATGTTTTATTATGCTATTTTAATGAATGTGCCAACACGAGTTTCCATTTCAGCAGTATTTGTCTTTCTGCTTCCAGAAAAGACTCTCAAGATCAGGGAAAAGGATTATATTTTCTCAGACTTGCCGACAATAGGAAATAGTTTGAGAACAGCAGACCTTTAGCTACTAATACATTGTCACCCCAAATGAAGACTTGCAAATATCAAAGGATAGATATCACCTTTGGGTTTGAAATGCAGAGGAGACCCAGCGCCAGAGGAACTGCCCTTCTAATGTTCTGCTCCCCATACTGCAAAAGATGCTCCAATGAGCGAATAGCCATCTCAAGCCCTAGTTCTTCAGCCATTGCTACCATAGCAATTCCAAGTATGGCAGTTCCCTGGTATGTTTCTCCCTTCTCAAGATGCTGTGCACACTGACCAAGAAAGTGTTGTACCTGTAGTACAAAAAGCACTTAGTAACTTAATTAACTTAGCACCACTACCAACCTGAGTCCAACAGCACAAGTTCATAACCTTGAGAACGTTTCCAGTCCCAGCATAGGCACATGAAAGCAGGGTCATGTCACAATGTTTCCTAATTTTCTCATTAAACGTCTTTGAAACCTCAGCTGTTGCCTCCACACTTTCCTGTCAGAAATGAATACTGTGAATTAATATCATACTGAAGTCTACCTATGGCAATGTTCTGCCTGAACATAGTATCAGCCTACGCCTGAGGTAATTTCTAAAAATAACAAGGGAAAAAAAGAACCTAAATTGTTATCCCCAGATATGATTATTGGTGAGATTAAATGCCACAGCATGAGCAACCATAATTACCTGCTTCCCAAGATACAAAAGACCAAGACCCAGAGGCAAGAGACGGGTGAGGGCCTCCCCTGACTCTGACTCGCTTCTGTCCATCAATGCAAATATAATTGCCTGGGCTACCTCTTCATTACACGATCCTACATATACCAAGCCTAGTGAGATTGCAGTAAATGCAATCACGTCAAGTGATGACTTTGCATCTCCAAGTATGGGGGTTAATTTACTTCGAATCTGGATAGAAGTAATAAAATAGATAGTCAGATATGCAAATGCAGAGCAGACATGAAAAATGGAAATGCGTGGCGAGAGCTATCTATGGGCTACTCAAATATGGTTTAATAAATTTCACAAATAAGGTCATAAGATTTAGAACAATCATCAATTTCTATTGGGTTGATCAAACAGAAACTCACCTGTTCATTTTGAGACCCAGCATATGCAAGTCCTAGGCCCATTATTGCACCTATTCTAATAGAAGAATCTTCTTTGTCTATGTATTCCGCTAAAAGAGCCAATGCCTGAGAGGACAAATTAATAAAATGTAAGGAAAAGATTTGGTCAAATATTTGTTAATATTGACGATTGATCCTTATGAACAAAAGTGAAAATTTTCAGGAAATTTGTCTGTACGCAAGACTTCAATCAGGTTTGTAAATCTGGACTTACTGGATCACAGTCATTCTTGATACCACAATTT